GTATTTTAAATTGCTAAACATCCATAGTTTGAAGAAGTTGGAAAGCAATTTTATTGTATGGTGGATGTATAATAAAAATGATAAATCCACATTATATAAACAGCAATCGTAACTCCTATTTGTACAAAGGCATAATTCAGTCAATCTGTTTTGATTTTCAGAATTGGGTCTTAAAGGAAATCCTCTTACTGACCGACGATTCCGCAAATTGGTTGAATCTGACAGATGTCTCCCAAAGCAAGTAATGGATTACGTGAAGCAACATTGCCCTAAAGTACAGGAGGGAAAGGGAGGTGGTAAAGGAAAGAAAGGCAAAGGAGGGAAAGGAAAGAATAAGGATCAAGATCAGGTATGAAATGTTTAAAATGTATATGATCTAAATAGAAGTTTTAACCAAAACTGTAAGTGCTTATACTAACATATGTTTTTCACGTGTTCTTGTACAATACATTTTTATGGTGTATTTCTTGAATCTCATTAACATTGTCTGTGGTTTTTACTTAACAGGGGTTCTCTTTAGTTTATGTATTATTAGGGATTTTATAAGACTTTTACTCCAAGAGTTGCATATATTCAGACCCTGAGAGTTAAGTGATAAGAAATTCTAATACTCACAAATGTATAGATACCTTTATATATGTTATAAGACTATGTGTTGTTTGAAGTCTTAGTGTTCTGTAATGTTGAAAACCTTTATCATCAGATGGATGAGATGTGCAATGAGCTTCATGTTCTAAGTGTGACTGATGAAACACCAGTAGTCCGGGTGGATCCTATCGTGAAGGATGTGAGGCCGTACCTAGTGTGCGGCATTCTTCAAAAGTTAGATCTGAGTGGAGAAAACTTCAAGAAATTCATCTCTCTGCAGGTAAGGTTTTGTTACATAGTTGTATAGTTTTGTGTAGAGGTATAATTTTTTTTTTTTATCTCTTATTCCTTACAAAATTATTGAGTTGGGATGACCATTTTCTACCTTTTTCTTTTTTCTTTTCTTTTCCTTTTTTTTCTTATCTCTAATTTTCTTGTTTTCTTTAATTTTTGTGAAGAACTATCATTCTTTATAATTTTGCTAAAATTATGGAGAATTAACCAGTTTCTGCTTCCTACTTTTTCTTCAATCCCCAATTCATTTTTTTGTGTATTTGGTATTCTCCTTTGAGGTTATTCTGTAACTTTCTGTTATTGGACTTTGCCTTGTTATGCTTTTCTGTCACGTCACCAAAAATAGTCGTGCAACAAATAGTTAAAAAACAAAACAAAATATGATAAGGAAAACTGACCATAACTTGATGCAATCATCAGACAAAGCTGCATGAAGGGATCTGTGAGAAGAGGCTTGCTGCAACTATTGCAACACATGATCTTGCAAAGATCAAAGGTCCTCTGAAGTACACTGCACGTGATCCCAATGAGATTCTCATCCATCCACTGATAAGGGGCAAGGAGGTCACTGCCAAGGCTTTGCATGGGGCATTGCAACATGAGGCAGAAGCACAGAGAAAACACATGAAGAAGAACATGACCACTGGACTTCATAAGTAAGTCTACTGCTGTGTGATATTTCTCTTACTTTTTTGTAGACATGAAACAATAATGTATATATGTATACACCTGTGTACATAGAAATAGCAATATCTATAGCAAAGCTTGTTAATGTGTGAATTATTCAAGATATAATGGATGTGATCAAGAATGTTTACTGAAATATATTGTTTCAGGTACCTTCACATAGTTGAACCATGGAATGTGTGGCCTTGCATTGAAGATTCTGCTGGGACAGTTGTGTCTTTACCACCCATCACAAATGCAGATAACACAAAGGTTATCATTCAGGTTTTCTTTGTCCTATTTATATATTTACAGACATATGCACACATTTATATATGGCTTTATATGCCACAGGAGTGACAGATAATTATTTTTTTTTTCTTTTTACAGATTACTGAGGAAACAACAGATGTGTTCATAGAAGTGACAAGCAGCAAAACACTGGCAAAAGCAAAAGAGGTTCTTGATACTCTTCTTCTGACTATAATGCAGAACAACCTTTGCCCAGAGAGGAATGAAGCAGATAAAACAGTCATGACAGTTCAGCAGGTTAGGGTAGAAGATGAAGACGGAAAGCTTCGGGTGTTGTATCCATCTCGTACGGACCTAATATATGAAAATGTGAGGATTAGGGTAGTTATGCCTGAGAAATAACTTTCTTATAAGTGGTATGTGCCTGTTTGGAATTGTGATATTTTGGGTATGTATTGTTCAGATACCCATTAATTATTAAAATCATTGTGTTGAATATACAGGTGTGATTTCTCTTTCTGATATTCAGAAGCATTTTCAGCCAGATGAATTAATTCATCCAGTCATTCAATTGATTTGCTGAATCCTGTCATTCACTGAAGTGCTGATGAAATTAGTCTCAAAGTGATAATATTTATATTGTATTTATGAAACATTAGGATTCAGATTAATTAAGGCCAAAGAAAAAAATCTTTTTTATATTTTCTTTCACAGAATCTTTTATGTTCAATCACACAGTGTTCTTGAAAAAATAGCATTCTTTTGTAAGTCATGGTCATACATAAACAAATGGATATCAGAACAATGGCAACTCTCATATTAACCACAACACCATTATTCAGATATATTTCCATTATATAAGTGCATTAACCCTTGTGAAAATAATTAAAAAATAAGAAATGTATGTTTCTATATAAAACATGTACATGTACTCAGTAAAAATTAAGTTCTTATTAGGTAACATTAGTGGATGCACTAAACTGAACTCAGTAAGATTATGGTAAAATAATAGATGTTGAAGATATAGATTGCATTTTGGAGGAAATCACACAAAGAGTCACTCCTGCACATTTTAACAGTCTAGGCTGAAAAGGATGGGAGAGTGCGGCATTTCATATTACCCATAAGTTAAGGAGATTTAAGTCAGGAAAGGAGATTTCTTCATACTGAGTTTTAAATCTGCATCAGAGTTGTACTCATTAATGCCATCCACCCATTTATCTTAATGGTGCTCAAGTTACAATTATACCTTACAAAGGGAAGGGGATATTTGAAAGTAAATTGAAGCAAAAACCAGTACATATTAAAATTTGAATAAAAGAAAAGGAGTACATAAGAAGCTTTTGTAAAAAAAAATGCAATATTAGATTAGTTACAGCTAATAAGAACCTATATGAAATTGAGAATTATAAAGATCTTCAAGCTGAAAAGTCATCTTCTATGTGCATACAAGAAACAGTGCTCAAAGTAGACTCAGTTCCATAACCATGTTGTTCCTTCTTTATGTTGATTGCATACCCTGTTCTGTTTCATATTCTTTAAAGCTACACGAGTATAGAAAAGAAAGGAATGAGGATACCTAGTGCCAGGTAAAAGAAAATGGTAAAAGTAATAATGATAACAAAGCTGCAAGGGGAATTTGCAAGACTAGGTTTGTAGAAATGTGGACTAACATCCAGTCCAAAGTTAGGAGACTGGAAAGATTGATGTACTAGTTTGTTATTATGAATGCTTTGATAAAGGATATATAGATTACATTGAGCAATTACTGTATTTGTTTTTTTTAGTTTCTAAGAATTTTTTTTTTTTTTTTACAAAATACGACTATACTGCAGCTGAATTTTCAGTTTAATGTATTTTAAATAGTGAACTTTCAAATATGTTTCATTTTCTAAGGAATGCATAAAACCTTGAAATTTGTATTTTTCCTTTCAAAATATGACCTTGTTTTGCTTCTTGTGAAAGAAATTTCATTTTTAGGTTTCTTTGCTTAGTTACTCTTTTGTAGGAAAAGGAAAACATTTTTTTCTTTTTGTCAGTGTTGTCCATATTCAGAGAGATATATGGAGACATGTGACCGAAGTCAAGAAATTTTGTTAACGGTTGATAAAATATATTAATACATGAATATATGGCACTGATAAGGAGATTAGAGGGATTTTTTAGAATTTCTTTGGAAATTTGGATTACAAGTATATAAAATTCAGATATAAGCCAGGAATGACTGACATTCATATAACACTGTCACATTCTAGTGAATGCTATTATATGTAAATTCTTTGCCAGAATGAGACATGTTTTTGCAAAAAGGGAGAAGTGTAATGCATTTTTTTTCTCATGGCAGTAAGTTATTACATATAATGAATATTATTTAAAGAAGATTGGTACATTATTTAGAAAATACATTACCATATATAAAATGTGTAATTTGCTAACAAGTGTAATCAGGTTTGTGTATTTTTCCATAATTAAAATTATATATGGTTCTATGAAGTTTCCTTATTTTTCCCTAAGCCTTGTGAAAGTGGTAGTGTTATTCTTTATTCATAAAAGATAGAACGGAAAGTTTCAGCTTGCAAAAATTTATTTTTTTAATTAGCCTATATGTCTGCAAGAAAACAATAATCACAGCAGTATAACAATATAGATTCTCAGGACACATTAGTTTACAGATATTTTCTATATTTTAAAACCTCTACAGTGAATTTTTAATGGGACCTATTCAGTAAAAATAAAATATAAATAGGTATTACTCTTTCACTATTCTGTGCTCTAAATTTAATTCTGTAGGACAAAATTACCTATAAGGATATCAAAAAGATTTTGATTCAGACTTCACTAAATATTTAATATTTCCTAATGCCATTCTGTAACAGAAATTGGAAAATATGAAGATATTTAGCTGGTACTTTTTCATTCATCATGAAGCTTCATATTATATAGACTTCACATAATCTTATTCAAGCAATGAAACAGTATGTCTAAAGATTTTTAACATCCTTCTGGATAAGGACCATTCTTGCTTCACCCAATTATATAAGTTCTTTTATATTAAATTATTGGATCACAATTGATAATTAGGCAGTATCTGAGTGAGGTATTCCACAAAAAATATATTGTTCAATGTTTCAAAAAAGTATATCAGAAATACTTTAAGAAAGAAAATCTTTGAAACTGCTTAGAGAAGTACTGAAAATGTA